TTCCAAAACTTCCGAAATTTCCTTTTTTGGAAGTCTGAACACTGCTGATGTTTGTTGCAAAAAAAAATATATCAGAAGATGGAGCGCCAAGAGGTCTATAATTTACAATAGAAAGCTTATTTTATATATGGTCTTTTAGTATTCAAAATCAGCAGATTTCGAAGTGAGTGAATTCTGATGTTGCGAAAAAGTTATTTTTTATACATGATGAATTCTTTTTTTCTTTATTTTCTCTTTTCAACGTTTTTATCCATTTTGAACACTAAAAGATCATATATAAAATAAGCTTTCTATTGTACATTGTAGATATTTTGACGCTCCATCTTCTGATATATCTTTTTTCAAGAAACATATTAGAAATTGAGAAAAAAAAGATAGAAAATACAACCGTTTATTATGGATACCGGTGACTTGATTAGATGGTACGAAAAAAATCTTTCAGTTTGAAGTTATGTCTTCACGATAGCTTGAGCTTTAGTTGTGAACATTTAGAGTGATACTCATCTGATATTGCTTGACTATAAGTTCAATTTTGAGCTTTTTTTGATTTTTTATAAGAGAGAGAACGGAATTTTTCTGTGAGGTACCAAAACTTTTAGATCATCCTTTAGGTAGGTAGATAGGTAAGTAGATAGGCAGGTAGATAGATAGGTAGGTAAGTAGATAGATAGATAGATAGATAGACAGGTAGGTAAGTCGAGAGATAGATAGGTAGGTAGGTAAGTAGATAGGTAGGTAAGTAGATAGGTGGGTAAGTAGATAGATAGGTAGGTAAGTAGATAGGTAGATAGGTAGGTAGGTAGATGGATAGGCAGGTATACATCTTAGTGATAATATCACTGATGTACAGGGTGGTCCAAAAACATTTCCCCCCCCCCTCCCAATTGTCTTTTAACTTCTTTTTTTATGAACAAGTGCATTTGAAATACAAAATTATTTTTATTTCAAAAACTATAAACATCGATAATCATCATGAGTTAGGCGTTGCTCGCCATTTTTAGTTAACAGAGAAGTTCGTCTAACCATTGATGAGATTATAGATTGGCATTGCTGGGACGAAATTGATTGCCAAATTTTTTTGATTTGTGATTTCAGTTGATTGATAGTTGAATATTTCACATCAAGTAGTTTTTCACGGATAATACCCCACACTGTTTCTATAGTCCATACATCATCAAATTTAGGGCTTTGAACATCGACAGGAATTCTTTCATTGAATAAGGCATCGATTTGTTGAAGCACCGCTTGGGTCCGATGAATACGTGCAGCATCATCTTGAAAGATTGGTATCTGATTTCGATATTGTTGCATAATAGCTGGATAAGCAATAATTCTAATGAGATCAGCATATCGGGTACCATTCATTGTTTTCTTGGCACATTTTGGCCATTGATATCCTTCCAAAAACTCATCGATGAACACTGGTGCCTCTCGTGGAATTAAACCATTCCAACTTATGCCACCCCAAAGTATAACACCAGGAGAAAATTTTTCACGACCATAATAACCACCATGTTTATCAGCATCTTGTCGACTGGTGCATCAAATAATATCATTTTTGGAGTTGAGCTGTGGTGTAAGACGGAAGGATTTAGAAAAATCAGTATTCACAAGTCGTTACCATTTTGATAAATGTAATTGTGGATTGAGTTTCCAATGTTGCTTTAGCCAAAATTCGAATTTTTTTCTTTTCATTCGATGTTCGTTTGTGATCTTAGACGATGTTTTACGATGGTATGTTTTGGCAATTTTTTTCACATTACGTAGAACTGTAGATCTTGAAACATTCACCTTAGGTGCAATATTTCGAGTTGAACGTCTTCTTTTATTTAAAACTAATCGTTTCAATTTATTTGACAGTTGTTTTGATGATGTAGTTGGTGGACGACCGGAGCCTGATCGACGTAAAGCTGTTGTACCAGTTTCATGAAATTTCTTTAATTGATATTTGATATTTTATAAGAGAGAATTTTTACATGAGTATTTTATTTTTTCTTGTTCCAGCATCGGTATTATATCTGATAAAATTCTTTTAGCTTCCCAATCAGGATGAAGCTTTTTCGAGATGCCAACTGTTTCTCGTACTAGCTTTCTTCCAATTCTATTCATCTGAAAAAAATAGAAAAGCAAAAAATTCTTTGCAAGTTGAATAATCAATATTGTGAAGTGGGACGGAGGGGGGGGGGTATGTTTTTTTGGACCACCCTGTATGTACATTTAAACATCCAAAACCAATCAAATAATATGGATAAACATTGTACGGATACAAATCAGCAGAAGAGAGAGGTAGATGATTTTCATAGATGTTATTTCTTTTTCTTGTCCTCAGAAATTCTAGGGATACCGATGCTAATATGTTGACATTTTTTTTTTATTATCCTATTAGACGAACATCGGTTAACTTGATGAATCTATATTGCCAATATTGACTACGCTTATACACGATAGGACATATTTGAGAAAAAGTGTGAATTACGACATGTTTATTTACACTTACTTACATACAATCACTCATCGACGGTTTATTGCAGATTTAAGATTGGCGATTATTATTAGAACGTAAAAACTAATCGGTTATATTTCTGAACGATTCCAATCTTTTTCAATTGTTCAAGACATGTGCTCTTATACAAAGAAAGACTATTGAATGATACTATACAATACATAAGAATATTTCTCTACTGGATTATTCTGAAATTTGTTACTCTCTACTTGTCAAGTTTTATATCTTAAAGACAAAACATAACAATGTCAAAAATATTCATAATCTTCTATTCACTGATTATGATAAATTATATAATAGAGCATTTTGACTTATTCTTTCTTTTAAAATAAAATGATACAATGTGGCGTAATTGAAATTATATATTCGATCTAATTTAGAAGAAGATCTCAGGTAAGTCATCACCGCACAACAATGAAGATCACATTAATATTTAATAGCTATTTTAAACAATGATCACGTACATTAATAATAGGCAAGTATTTGAAAGAATTAGATTAAAATTAAGCCATTTGAATTCAGAAAAAAGAAACAAAAAGTAGTAAATAACGTCTTCTCTCAAAATGCACAACACATACATTTGTTCGATTGTTAGCTCTTAATGAATTTGTTGATCGCACCAAAATTTGTCATTTAAGTGTTTGAATTTTCAAGCTATTTCTATATGAAACATTCTTATGAGAAAAGTATAGACTTTTTTTCTGATTTGCATATTTCGATATGTACAAAAAATATTGTTGAAAGTTTTATTTTACTGATTGTATATATTAATCGTTCTTTACTTAGCAAAAAATAACAGATGAATGTCGATAATGTCTACGTTTAGTTCAATAGAATTAACCATTATTTGCTTTTATTTTATTTTGACATTGTACTCTAACACATAAAGCATAATAAACGAGTTGAGTATGGGCGTGTGGACAAAGCACATCTTTACATACACCTACAAAACTATTTGCAGCCAGTTTTCGACCCAAAAGAAATATTCTCATTCAGTAAGTGCTAGAACTTTAAATTCCATATGTCCAAGTCATTTGAAAAGTCATATAAATACTCTAGAATAGTTCGTTATCCAGATTTGTCAAACAAAGATATTTTTATTGTACTCATATTGTTTTTCAATTGATGAATGCAAGAAAGTAAGGAAACATACAAGATGATAGTGAATTGCAAGCTCTATCAGAATATATTATTGCTTTTTCAAAAAAGATAATTCTATAATGATAAAAAAATTAAAAAACTAATTTTGATGATAGTGATAAAATCAAGTCTATGGGAATCTGAATATGAGGGTGCCTTGGTTACACTCAATTTATTTTAGTAATGAATGTGTCTAAACGAAAATCTAATTATGTAGATTGATAGAAAACTCCATAGGCTTTCAGAACATGTAATTAATTTTAAAAAAAAATGTGTTTTTATAGTGGAAATATATTCAAAATACAGAGTCTTACTATTTTTTTCTGGTGGTATATATCGTACTAAACTAGTTTCTGTGTCTGAATGTTTGTCGAAATATTTTCATATCTCTAATTTTAGGACAACATGGATTTTTCTTTTCCTTTATTCCGACAGAATAGTCGAATCTGATTATAAATAACTACCAAACAACATATAAGAGTTTTATTTTTTGGCATTAACTGTCGAAGTGTTAATGAAGATTGTTGTGATCCATCTTGCATATGTCTAATTTATTTGAGTAACTTTTTCATTATACTTTTCCAGAAACACTGCTGCTTTAATAAGAACAAAAGAATATAGAAAAAGAAAAAAAAATATTTTTTTTCCAAAATAAAAGAGTATTTGTCAAATGATGAAGAAGTAGAATGTTCAGAACGTTAACTTCATCTACATTGTTAAATTGATCTGAAATGCATCGTCTCGTACTATTATTACTATTATTCAATGAAGTTGATCTCAAAAGCCTTTCATCAACTTTAATTCTATCGCCTCTAGGCACCATTTTTCAACCGGCAAACATTGTTGAACTACTTCGTACATTCAATGCCAATATTTTAGCTCACTGCTCAATAGAATGTAATAACGATGTGCATTGCCGAACGATCGATTATGATTCGATATCAAAACAATGCCGCCATTTTGAAGGTGAAATTTCTACTGGTACTGTCATCTCGTCCATTTCATCAACATCAACAGTCGGTGGTATAGTTTACACATCGGATCATTACGTATCTTACAATAAGACGAGTGACCAGTGACAGTCGAATCGATACCTAGTCATCAATAAGACTTCGAATTTATGTACCTGTCCTATACGGACATTTTGGAATGGGAATATGTGTTTGAATCAGCTGTATAATGGATCCATGTGTTTCTCGGATGAATGGTGTCGTGCCGATTTGAATCTATATTGCGATATGTTTTATCGGATTTGTAATCGAAACGTAAGCTCAACAACACTCGAATACTCATCGATTGCATCGACTTCTGCAACAACAAATATCAGTACGAATGAATTTATGATTCTTTACCTTTAGTTGTCATTGTTTTTTCTTTTAGTCAATAGCACAACCATGACTGCATCTGTTTTCACTAGTTCTTTTTCAATGATTTCGACAATGACAAGTTCTTCGATTGTAATCAATTACACTAATATTTATCCAGCACCAGTAGCAAGTCCAAATGCAGCAGCTCAGTGTAAGTTTAAATCTTCATATTCAATTCAGAATGGAAAATAACGAAGGTAAGAATAAAAGTGCTGTGACTACCCTTACAGTAAGCAACAGAATGTGAACATTTTTGATGACAATATGCATTTGAAAATTGTTGTAATAATAATGAAAATAGCTCGAATGGATATTTTCATATGAGCAGATTTTTCAACATTGAAAGCATTTCAGATCTTCATGATTCAATGCTTTAGAAAGAATATCGATTCATTTTAATCTCGCATATTGTCAACATTGTTAATCAATCATATATTAACTTTATAATATATTTATCATATACAAAGATGTATCTTTGTCATTCAAGTCAAGTAATGGAATTTGCTATGTGGTTAGGTCGAGACTGATTAAAACAGTTCCGTGGATTTACTAGCAGATTTTCTTTATGAAAATATAAGTGCTTGTGATTTGATAGTATTCATGCAAAATAATGTTTAGTATATAAGAGATCTTTTTGTATTGATTTAAAAACAGTATTTGATTCGTAGTTTTGTTAATAAACTCTTTATTTTCAGTGTATGGTGTAAACCTGCTGATGAATGGAGATGGTGAAACAGGTCCGTGTGCTCTGTCAACTACTGTAACACCTCCGACTCTATGGTCATATGTTGACATAATCACACAAATAGCATACAACAATTCTGAATATAGTGCTTTAACTCCAACTACACCAGGTCCTAGGTATTGTATAAGAAATAACTAGTGTCCCAGAAATAATGGGCTCTTTATATTTTAATGATATGTTTCTTGATATTAAATTATTCAGACTTGAATTTTTTCAAAAGATAGGTTTTTTCATGTTCTACAATTATTTATGTAAATAATATTCATCATTCTCTAAGACATTCTTTGAACGAGCAGTCCAAGATGAATAATTTTGTAAACCAGCATCTTGTCGATTTTTTTTTTGACTTCACGTTTCAAATCTTCAATAAGTCTCTAGACTATTCAGTAGCGAATTATATTTACTCGTGAACAATGGACAGTTATCCTCATCGTTTTGTTGAAACGTTCAATGTTTTCCAAAGGTTTCATTTCCATGTTTTAGTACTATTAGAAGAACATTCTGGATATACTCAGTCTAACCTACTGTTCTTTGGTCGAAAATGACCAAGGTTGTCACTTCTTTGAAGCATATACCCGATTAGACCATGACTTCTTTGAGGAAGCTTTTGTTTCATTTTGATGCTATCTTTTTCATTTGCTTGAGCACGACTGACGGCGCAATCACTTTCGTTTCGAGAATTGCATATACCTCCGATATCGACCATTTTTTCATCTGAAAATAAAATACGCAACGTGTGCTCTTGTCGATAATTATTACAGACCCGAATTACGAACTTTTTTCGGTTCTCTTTCTATTCATCCGTGAGTCTTGGTTCGATTATTTTCTTATAGGCATGAAATTTTCGATCCTTCTCCAATGTTCAATGTGTACTTGATTTGAACATGCGATACTCTTTAGCCAAAACTTGAACGGACACTACCTTCTTTTGATCAAGTTTGTGCTTTACTTTTTGGATCATTTTACTGATCCAAGAAAGACCTGATCTACCCAACAGTGTTGACAGCTGGATAGAACTATTGGACCATCTCCATTTTCGTACTTACAAAAAACTATTGTCTAAAGATCTTTAGATTTCATCTTATAACAGAGGCATAATAGGCTTGAATGAAACGCAATATATTGATGCTTGCAGAGGTTAGCAAGACGAGTATCTAGGAGAAAATTAGATCTGAACAATTATGAATTAATAGAAATGTCAGTAAAATATTGAGAGACCCATTATTTTTGAGACACCGATTATTTTATATCGTGCAACCCTCTCCTTTCCATTTTAGTAATCGTGGAAAATGTTACTTTTGTGGCATGTCCAGTCCTCTTACAACTATGTCACAATCTATCGACTTGTCTCCATATATGACAGCCATTGATAGTGGTAATGTTTCATTTCATTTGTCAGCTTGGTTAGGTGGTTGGACCAATCAGAATGATTCAGCTGAAGTTTCAGTTGATTTTCTCAATTATGCCTATCAATCTGTTGGTCATCGTACAACGCTTGGTCCTGTTCTAGCTGCAGATCGTGACTTTACAACATCATTAATTTTTCGTCAAACTTCGGGTATGATACCGATAAACACTCGATACATGACTGTGATCATCACTTTGACGTGATATGCTGGAGGTGATAATGATGGATACATAGACAACATCAGTGTTGAACTTGGACGCAGCTAATCATCAATGTCAAACTTTACCTAGATACGATAAATATTGTCCAAAAATATTCTCTTTCTCGTAGCGAAGAGTCTAGCAAAAATAAATTGTTTGCTTGCTTATATGTCCGTACTCCACTGATTGACTCAAAAATAATGTGAAAACACAAAGGATGTTCTTTTTATAAAGTTTGACCTAAAGTTTTTTGGATCGGGAATCCAATGGTACCATTAGTTTTTTATGATTTTGCAAAAAAATTTTTTTACAAAAAACGACTTTTTTTTTTCAAACAAAATAATTTTTTTTAAAAAGTTTGACCATAAGATTTTTTGATTCGGGGAATCCAATGGTACCATTAATCTTTTATGATTTTGGAAAAAGAATTGTTTTTTGTCAAAGAAACGACCTTTTTTTCAAAAAATATTATTTTTTTAAAAAGTTTGACCAGAGGATTTTTTGGATCGGAGAATCTAATGGTACCATTAATTTTTTATGATTTTGGAAAAAAATTTTTTTTTGTCAAAATAACGACTTTTTTTTAAAAAACAATTTTTTTATAAAGTTTGCCCAAAAGGTTTTTTGGACCGGGGAATTCAATGGCAACATTAGTTTTTTATAATTTTAGAAAAATTTTTTTTTTACCAAAATAACGACTTTTTCTCTTTCTCGTAGAGAAGAGTCGAGCAAATATAAATTGTCTGATTGCTTGCTTACTTGTATGTCCGCACTTCAGTGATTGGTCCAAGAATAATGTGAAAACAAAAAGGATTATTTTCCATAAAACTTGGCCAAAGGTAATGCGGGGTGAGGAGTTCAAATCTGAGGCCAGTTTTAATTAATTAATTATTAATATTTTCCATAAACTTGACCAAAGGTAATTGAGGGTGGGGAGGGTGTGGATGGATGCTGGTGCACAGTGGGCAACTTTCATGAAGCAGGCGGACATGTAATTTTTGTTTTCTGAAACGGGTTGCCGTTACTCAGAAGTGTTTGTATATTACTCAGAAAATCGAATTTACGAAAACAAAGCATTTTTTGAAAAAAAAATTTCCGGAGTGAAACACCCGAGGCGGACCCTTATCCAGATTTCCGAAAAAATGTTTTTGGTCGGGAATGTCTTGTGTCATACATCATCCGATGCAGTTTTGCTCGCTGATTCCGAATATCACATTCATTTTGCACCATAATGCTATCGGAATCGAGAAAATAGGGATTCAGGGGCAGAAGCCTGGATTTCTGGAAAACTTCTAGCATAGCTTGGATTCCTCAGCACGAGATGGCGCTAAGCCCGACGATATATCGCATGTAGAAGAATAATCGGTAAGAATTTCAGATCAATTGGACTTAATCTCTTTATAGGGTTAGTAAAGTATGGAATGACCAATTTTCGAAGCTATATCTAGCAAAAGCCCCAATTTTTTTTTTCTGAAAAAATGCTTACTATTATACATGATTCGATGCAACTCGACGAGCTGATTTCGAATATCATTTTAGTTTTCCGTCAAAATGTTTTCATATTCACAAAACTAGCGATTCCTGGGCAGAAACCTGGTTTTTTGGAAAACCTCTCACTTGACCTGTGTTCACTGATGCAGCACGACGCTATGATCAACGATACATCAAACATGGGAGAATAATCGGTGAAAGCTGCAACTCAATCGGATCAAAATTCTTTGTAGCATTTACAAAATACGACATGACCGTTTTTTCGACCCACATTGGGCCCAGTAATCATTTCTTTTCTATTGCAAATCTGATTCAAACCAAACCAATTTTTGATACAGTAAAGCTCATGGATCAACACTTCATTCTACATAGTTTTTCCCTTCAAACTACTTTGATAAGTTGATCAAAAGAGTGGCTTCCGTAAAATTACCGATTTATGACCAATTTTTTTGTCGATGAGTTTTTCCAGGGTTCGACTAGTTTTTTGGAAATTTGGTTTTAAGGTAAGATAGACTAACCATAGATGTATTCATTCCAATATTTAAATTTTGGAAAATGAAACTTCAGGTCATGTCCGCCTGGTTGCCTACTGTGCCCCAGGTGGGCGTTTCACGGTTAAGGTATACCAAGAGTAGTGGCAGTAGCACTATACTATATTATAGAAGGGTTCAAAGAAGTTTTCTATACATAAACGATAGTCCAAACAATGCTCTATAATTCTAAAATATTTCACCATTCTTCATTTGCTATTATAATATTAGAAGTTCGATCATAGCTGTTCAACTCTCTTTTCTGTTGTATAAGGAAAACTTTTGCTTTTGCATGTAAATCCGTATTGCACTATATTTTATTTTCGGCAGCCACGCTCCACCTCTTAGAACAGTTGAAATATAATATAAATGATTTTGTGAAGTTGTTAGCATGATCCGGTGTGTTTGTCAGCGAACAACATCCGAAAAGATGGAACAGATTCATTGCCTTATCAATGATGATCCTCATATTATAATTGAAGAATTTCAAGCACAAACTAATCTGAATCATAGAGTCATCCAACAAATAATTTCCCATCATGGTAAACATAAAAAGGTGCCGGCTAGTTATATATCGTAACAGTTAACCTTGAGAATGGTCATGAAAGATATAATCTGAATTGCAAATCTGGTGGATCTTTCTTTATCTTCAACGTCTTTTCGACCTTCACAAAACTATTCGTATCATCTTTCAACTGTTCTAACAGATGAAGTCTGACCACCAAAAACAAAATATAGTTTATCATAACTCTCATTTGACGATACGATTACAGCATGCGGTTTTTCATTCTTCGAAAAATATCCGACTACTTATTTTTGTAAATTGCTGCGCGCTTGTTTTAAGTTGAAATTTTCATTGTGACACATGATTCAATAGAACAATTTGCGCTGTACGTAATTCCTAAAAATATTTAGCTAATTTTATTGCTCAATATATCATTAGATATATATACAACAATTACACAAAGACGTTCTTGCACTGTCTTATTCACCTATCGAAGAAGTTAAAAGTTGTTTTAACATCATGTGTTTGTGGGGAATCTTTTCTCTTAGGAAACTCCTTGTGTTTAAAATCAAAATAAATTATATCACTTGAATTATATAACTTTCTTACTTTATGAATAGCAGGAATAAAAAGTGTACAGTAGTCTTAGCAACAACTTAAGTGCAGATCTCACTGAATATATAGCAAACTTTTATGCGTCACGTCTTTGTAGATAGAGAATGAAATTTAGAACAACATCCTATGTAAAGTTTCATTTGATAGATTCTTGTTGAATGAGATACATATCGACTATGTAGCTGCGGCTGCAATAAGCTTTTTTACTCTCGTCATTTACAGCATAACAAAGGTGAAGAGCTTATGAGATATAATCGGTTTTGATTTCAAATATAAAAGTTTCGTACGGGAGAAGATTCCCTACAAATCCATTATCTCCTTCGATGCGTGAATAAGGCAGCACAAGACCGTATATCTGCGTATTTTCTGACTGTTCGTTCCCAAGATCATCACAAAAGAAACTGATAACTTTCAATGTGTATGTCTACATGGTAAGGTAAAAAAAAAAAAAGAAAAAAAGAAAACTCCCCAAAGACTATATAAATGTAGTGTGAAGCGATTTCATTTTTCGGCAACGGAGTTTCAATCAATATAAGAGCTGGCTGAAGACTAAGTTGTCAAAATTGTCATTTTGAATGAACGAAAACTCCTATTGAAGGTTCAAAAATATTTGTATCATCTCAAGAAATCGATCTCTCTGACAAAGCAAAGTATAGATTTTGTTACAGCAAAAACCACGCAAATTATGGAGACCCAATGCGTACACGATCGACTACAGAAATGCTGTGCTTCGCACCACATTAATAATGGATTTTTTTAAATATGATAGATCATCTGATTGTTCAAGGAAATCTGCAATATCAGATACAGTTCAGTTTGGATTTTGACGATGTAATAATAATAATACTCGTGGTCGAGCTAACTTACGAGATATATGATTTCGAAAATATATAGAATAAGTAAAAGAGTAAAAAATAAAATTTTACTTTGTTTTGTATTTTTCTTAAAATCAATTTTTGAGCAAAAAACAACGAGATTTTCCTCCCTTGTCTCCTACACGGTATATTCGGCGGCCTAGAAACTCTTTTATGAGTACTTTGGTCCAATTGGGATACGTATTTTTATTTCAAAATGTTGTTCCTAGGAAATTCAGCAACCTTTAGAAAAAATACATTTTTTTGACAGTGCTTCCAGTATCATCTTGCTTCTTCTGAGCTCTAGAAATAAAATATTTGAAATAAAACAAAAACATGCGTCTCAATTTAAGGTCATAGAGTTCTACAGAAAAAACTTTTTTTTTCGTATTTTGTCCCGTACATCTCTACATTGAATAGTATCTGGCAAACAATGTATTATAGTCTCATCTGGGAGAGCAAATATAAAGTTCGTGATTCAATGACAAAAACTTGAAACTTTGGATCATACTCAAGCTTTTCTTTTGCAAAAGAAAATAATTTTGATTTGTTCGTATGTATATTGTCTGTCATCTTTGATGATATACTGCTGATAATTTATTGATATCTATTTTTTGTTTAATTCATTTTTCTTTTGTTTCGAGAGTGAATATCCCTTTTTGTAAATTCAATACAATGTCCGACATAACAATATACAATTTTTTAAAAGTCTCTATT